TTATTATATTATTTATTATATATATATATATATATATATATATATATATATATATATATAATAAATAAATATTCAACGTATCTGAAGCCCGAGTCCGAAAACATAAAAAATAGTAAGTTGCATAAAAATAAGAAAAATATTGATAATTAAACTTGTTATAACTGTTAAATATATGCACATTATATTAGCATTGAACATGAAGTACCGCTGAATGTATACTGTAAACATATAATACTGCACGTGACATTTTTCAGCATTTTTTCTCCTCAAGCGATAGGGATGAAATAAAATAACAAAATGTTGGAGGCGAGAATTAAGTAACACGACTTTGGAGATTTTCATATGTATGTTCTTGGAAAACGACAGGAATGCATAACCGATAAAAGGTATTCGTAAATTAGACGTTTTATAAATTTTTTTTTTTTTATTTGTCAAATATTGTTGAAAACGATTATATTTAATGATCATTGTTTATTTTTTCTGCGATAATTATTTTCAATGTACTTGTTATCAACATTTATTTTTAATTTAATTAAACTATTTAAAAGAATTATGTACAATAACAACTGTTCTGATATTAAGTATATGGTGTTAATTGACAATAAGTACCTTTTTATCATAAAAGTTGTATATATTTAATTAATAATATTTGTTATTTTGTACTTTAAATAACTCTTATTCATTATTTACTTTAATTGAAAGATTTTGTTAGTTACACGAACTAACTTATATTCTTGTGTAAAAAATATATATATTATTATTAATTAAATGTGCATTAATTTTTCAATGCACATTTATATTATATATATCTTTTATACAATATGATTTTATCACTCTTCTAGTCAGTTCAATTTATAGCCTATTTTTGTGTGAAATTGTAAAATATTTTTAAATATTATATGTAAATAATATAATGATGTACAATAACGTTTAAATTAAATGTAAGTTATTGGAATAATGTTCGAATTATTTTTTTCATTTTTTTAACTGATTTGTGAAATAAATATTTAATGACAATTGCATAATTATCCCCTATAACTATCATAGTATGTCTGTTACATATTTCTTGTCTCCAGCGTTTAGTTACAATGAACAAAAATTATATTTTCACCTTCAATTTTTTTTATTAAAATTTATATTTTATTAATAGAGAAAAATTCTTATTTGTTTCGAAATATTGTTTGTAGTTTAATACCTTTGTGTATAGGAATATCATTAAATAAATAGTATTTATCTCCTAATCACAACAATTTATGTCTGAATATATTCATTCTTCAATGATAAATAAAAGATTAAATAACATAAGGACTTATTTTATATGTAACAAGCATGTATTTTCCTCAGCTCCCTATTATTTTTATTTCTTCTAGTAATTTTTGAATAACAAATATATGTGAAAGCTATGATTATAATACATATACAGTACATTCTAAAGAAAAATATAAGTAATTGATAATTTGATAGTTGATATTCATTAAAAGAAAAAAAATACATATTGCAATTTACAATGATAAATCAGTCATTTTCATTATCGTATAATATATTCATAGAAAATTAAATTAATAAATTAAATCTCATTTAATAAATTTATGTAGCATCTTAACATATTAAAAAATTCAAAAAATAAAAAAAATTTAATACAGAAAAATCAAATATTTTCACATTTGTAGTAAATTGATTGATCTTACACATCTGTAAATTCGTGATGTGAAATGCGCATACAATCTTGAAGTATAATAAACACTACAAGATGTAACATGGCTTTACTAAATTATGATTTTTCGATATAAATTTCTGACTATAAATTACACGCAATTCTATAATTTTATTAGATATAGCAGGGTATAACGATATAATTGTCACACACACGCTTATACAGATACGTACATATCAACATGTACTTGTATAATTAAAAAATTATGAATATATATATTCATACTCAAAGAACTTGTAATCTACACTGATTTATACTTGCAGTGCTCAATTGAAAAGTTTAAAAATTCATATTTTTAATATACCGATTAATGATAATTAGAGATCATATTTATTTATAACTAAACTTGAATAGAAGACATTGCATATTTTCACAAGATGAAGTGTATATATTACTATATAATAGAAAATATTTAAAAATATAACAATTATTATTTGCACAAAACGATAACTATAATTATATAAACAATAATTATTTATCCTAAAAAATTTATAGGATATTTTAACTAAAAACTGAGTTATTTGTGCGAAAATGTTTAAAAAATATGTAATAAGTCAAAAATAGCTATAATTGTAATTAACATAAACAGTATCATTGTTCTAAAAGTACAAGTTTAATATCTTCTCAAATCTTTTAAGTTTAAAACTTGTTAATACATGTGATTTTTGCTATGTATGGATTATTCACAGAAATAAAAACTAGTGAAAACGGAAGTTATTTGAAAATGGAAGTTTATATTTTGTTCATCTATTTATTCTATCAATATATTTTGTTACTAATCAATGAATTTACTATTTTTTTAAAGAAATAGTTGAATTAATTATTACAATAATTTCATTTCATGAATGACATTTAATTTCTGTTTAATTTACTTTATAATTAGATAAATAATATTTTTTATTTAATTAGATAAATATTTTGCATATCTTTGTATATAATGAATAGTAATAATAATTAATTTCATAATTTTGTAATGAAATTTATCATTTTTAAGAAAAAATTAAAAATTGAATTTGATTAAATAAAAATTTTTGAACAAAAAATGTGAATAAATATATATTTGATTTTTAGCATCTCTCAATTCAATGTATCTTTTAATTAATTTTTAATTACTTTTTATTATAAGAACATGATATATATTTTAATTGAAAGTTATTTATAATTTGCTAGAGCAATTTATCAACAAATATGTAACTTTGATTTTAATCAATTTGAATTAAAATATTTATAAAATTTATTTGCTCTAGCAATTATTAGTATCAAATCTTGATTGGTCTCTATGTAATTCATAAAGTTTATTTGATATTTATTAATTGGTACCTGCCCAAAGTTTGATAAATATAGATTCTAATAACTACTATACATTGTGATATTTCTTAACAATGTTAAGATATTGATTTTTCAAATACATTTTTTGTATAAATTTTGTAATAAAATTAATTTAAGTTCACATTTAAGAACACAAGTACAAAATTTATTATATTTATATAATAAATTAACTTCTTTTTTATATATCTTATGAAAATCATAATTATTTCAATTTGTATTAAATTGATTAAGTTTTGGTTTTTAGTCAGTTTAACGATTTTTTTTAAAAAACATTATTTAATACACCGGTATTTTTTTTTTTTTTGTATTATTGCACGCTTTGTATTAATATCTTACAATTATCTGTAAGATATTATACACATATGTACCTATGTAGGCTAGCATATTTTTAAATTTTAATTTTGCTTATTAACTAAATTAATCTGATAAAATTAGAATTAACTAAATTAATCTGGTGGTAAAAAACTGAAGAGTCGAAATTGTTCTCTAATACGTGGTCTAACATCTCCACCCTAAAATGAATACTTATATTATTATACACTGTAACAATTGATATTTATTATATATCATATTACTATTATTAATAGTTATATATATACAAATCTCTTAGTAAAAAGTTATCTCATAATCAATAAATACTTACCCAATTTACTAAATTTTCTAAGAAAGGTAACAATTTCATTAATTCATTATCTGAACGATCAGCAAACCAACTTTCTATAGGAATACCGTTTTCTAACTGTAAAATAATATTTTTTAAAAATAAAAATAATTCATTTTTTTTTATCTTTTTTAATATTTCGAAAATATTTTTTTACCTGGTATCCAAATGCTTGTGGACTATTATCAATTATAACAGTTTTAGATAAATCTCTACCAAGTATAGATAAATCCTTGATATAATTTCCATTTACACAAACACAGTGTTCTCTGAACAGACGATACTTGATCAATTTTCGTGTTGGATCTAATAGATTCATTAATTTATTTGCATAAACTCGTTTACTCGCAGTAAAAAGAATAACTTCAAACAATGATGAAACATGTTCTAAAAATTCGCGAAAATAGGGTCGTGTTCTGACAAACACTGTATACGTTACATCTTGAAAGACGACAGGAAAACGAAATGCTGCATCCGAAAGTTCTTGTAAACTACAATGAACTAATGTTTCATCCTATATAAAAAAAATCTTTTTATATTCATTCATTCATTTTGTAATATATTTTAAATTTTATTAAAACTTTATTATTATTATTCTCTTTTTTTATTTTCATATTAATTTTTAATATTATTATTTTTTAATTAATTAAAAATAATTTAAAATATACATACCAAATCTAATACGAGACTAAATTCTGGACTGCTTCTTGTTTTAAGAGGAAGAGCAGGACATCTAGCTCTCATTGCTGGAGTTAAAGGTGGTAAGTGTTTAATGAAGACATAAGGATCAAATGGTTCCCAATCTTCTTGGACATGAGTAACCATATTTTCCATATCACAACTTTCTACTATTTCCTCACTTCCAACCTCCATATATTCAACATCATGATAATTGTTTTCAATATCATCAGAATTGTATTTTTCAGTAACATTTCCATTTGTATCAGATGGATGATGATGGCTTAGATTGTACATGGTTGATGTACCATACTTTGTAGTAGCAAAGTTAGAATCATATTTTGACAGATGACTGTCAACAGAACATTGATTTTTTGACAAACTGTTATTCGCATTATTATTGCTAAGTGCGTATTTTCCATTTGGAAAATACTTTTCTAATGAATAAGAACGAGTTCCATACATGGATGCAGAATGCATTAAACTATAACATTCTTCAGATACTTCTGTTTGTGAGCAAGAAGTGGAATAATATAGCGATCTAGTATCTGTAATAAATAAAATTTATTTATCATTTGTATATATAATAAAAATGTACATAGATAAATCAAAAAAATAAATTATACATTATTTTTATAAATATATATACCAATATTTTTACTTTCTTCATCATCCAATATATATGAAAAATCTGAATTTGATCCTATAGATGCTGGAGGCATTAGATTTGACAGTGTTGATACACTTGGAACTGAAGATTTGAAATCATTTACACTGGATATGGAGGAGCAACATGTGTCTGTATTTAATATGGATGAGTATAAAGATAAACTAGTTACATTCCAGTTTTCTTTAGATTCTTCAGAAACTTTTGTTGTATGTACTGTTGTACATTTTTCTGGCTAAATAATTTATATTTATTATCTTTTGTTCAAAAAACAAATTAGCTTATAATAAAACTTACAGTAACTGCATTTTTTGTAGAAATTCGATGTAAGGGTGTTGAAGTAACCATTGATCGTTTTATGCATTTTCTTCTACGAGGTCCTCTCACTCGTCTATTAGGCGCAGATTTTGCGAAACGTAAAACATTTTCTTTACAAGCCTACGAAGATAATAATCTTTTTAACAAAACTGAAGTGAAGTCTTTACATTAACCAAATTGACTTCGATTGTAGTTCTAAGAAATCTAAGTGCATAATATCCTTGAGAGTTAGTCAGTCACTCATTAACCGTTGATTAGTTAGAAAGTATTTCTTTTTAAGGAATAGTGAAGTTTGTTTTAATAAATGACCTGCAAAGATCATTTACAATAAGCTAATGATAATAATGTAGTTTGAAATATAATTGAATCCATATCTTGAATAGAAACATAAAAAAATGCAACATATGTAAGAATTTAAGTTTAGAATTAAAGGAAAAAAAAATAAAAAGTAATGCATACCTCTTTTAAAAAATGAGTACATCTACGTCTCCATCGTGTCAGCCTACCATATTTGTTATTTGGTATATTAATGTGATTACTACTATTATTTATAGAAGGAAGTTTTCGTATGTTCCTAACTTGTACCCGATAATTGTATATTTTAGTTTCAGATGTACAACTTATATTTAAACGACCACGTAGTCTTCTACTAACATGTTCACTTCGTAACCACATTTCAAACAAATATCTAATTGGCCTAAAACAATAATGAAATCATAAATTATTACTTCATTGTTAAAAATAATAAAAAATATATAATTGATCCTTAAATATAATAGATTTTTTTGAATATAAATTATATCAATAAGATAAATAAATTTATATACATTATATACATAATTTGAATTTGAAAAAATTTTTAGATTAAAAAATTTCTTTATTCATTTTTTTTAAAAATATAATAATTGAAAATATTTCTCTTGCTAAATTGTGATGATTAATATATTTAATATTCTAATATATTATAATTATATTATTATTTATTATTTTTCTTTTCTTTTCAATTATTTTTTTAAACAAAATATTTTTTTTTAAAAATCATTTTAAATATAAGCTTTATTATAACAATTATAACATAAAAAAAATCTCTTAAATTGAATGATAGCTCTAATAAGATTAAATGCAATTATAATTTTAATATATTATTTTCTAAATTTTCATAAATTTTTTTATATGATTAATTGTTTATATATTTTTTGTATTTATATATTCAATTTTTATTATATATATTTTTATTATATATATAATATTTATTATATGTTTAAAAAAAAGAATGTTTTGAAAAAAGAATTTTAATTGTAGAATTTAATAAAAAAAAAAATCACAAAGAAAAAAATAAATTATTGCAGAAAAATCAATTCATATATTAAATAAAAATATAAATAATTAAAACTATTAATTATAAATGTTCCATCACATCTTAGAAATTGCGCGGGAAAGAAATTCGATCGCATCAAAAAAGGGGCGTTCCTAATCCACAGTTATTTGTAGTAGTTATATATATGAAACATACATATATTTGCAGCAAGCGTCACACTACGCACACACATATATATACATATACGAATACATATATGCATACTCAGAGTGTATATCGATTTATATGCAGTGTGATACTCGGTTATATTTTCTAGTATCCTCACAGAAATAGTGTGTATTTCAAATACATAATCAATATAATCATTACAAATCAAATAAAAGACGTATTATATAATAAACTATACACGATGCTCATTTTACTTTATGGTTTTATATATTAGCTATAAATCAGTCGAAAGTTTGAAAGTACAATGTTGTGCCGCGGAAGCGGCGGCACCCAACAATTGTAACGCCTGAAAATTCCCGCGAAAATTATCTTGCATGAATAAACATCTAACACATGTTTTAACATATGATATCGCTTACCATATTTCTCAATTAACAAACACACTCATTAAATAGAGAAACAAGTCGATATGTTGCGATCACACGCGTTTCATTCAAATCCGTTGCTCGCATTCACTTTTCATCCCCCCGAAACTAACAATCATGGCTACGGCGTCACTCGAAAATACATCACGAATCAAATTCAACACTCCTTTATTAATATATATTAATTCGCTTAAATATAATTAAAATTTTTAAATTGATTATTTTCTAATTTAATCATTGCAAAATAATATCGTAAAATTTTGTTTTGTAATAAATATTTATTGAAATTTGATTATTACTAGAAGTTTTCCGGTTACAGATGCGACATCTATATTTTAAAGATATTTCTTTTTAAGGCGATTATACATTAAGAGAAATCGAACCAAGTACTATTTCTAAATATTAATTAATTATACGAATCCAAAAATTCAAATATTACATATAGAAAATTACATGTAAAAAAAAATTATATATATGAAATTTCTAATATATAATAAATTCAGATATTTATTTTGTGATAATTATACTTATAGATAATCTTTCTAACTTTTTTAAATATGTTACATATATTTTAAATAAATTTATATTATATACATATCTAAATTAATTATTTTAGATATAATAAAATAATACTATAACTAATTATATACAAAATAAAAATAATTTGTATATAATAATCAGATAATTCAATATTCAATATTCTTAAAGACAAACTTTAATATTTTCGATTATTTACAAATATTTTCAAAAACATAATATAAAAAATTTGTGCTTTTTTTTACAAAAACATTAAAAAATACAAAGCCTAAAAATGTATGAAGGCACAATTTCTATACAAAAATAGCAATAAATATTTCAGACTTTTATTGAATTTTTGTGTGGCTATTTACATTATTATATCATAATTTTTCAATGTAATTTATTATATCAATGTAAGAATAGCGAATAATTCATATTATTTATAAAATCGTACTATATACTCTAATCGCAATATTAATTCAATATTTACAATAGCCAAGTTGTACATCAAATATGTACAGCAGCATGGCATATATGTATAATTTATGATAAATCAATTTTCGCTTAATCAAATACATATTTAAAACAATTTTTGTATACTTGCTTCGACTTCCTAAAACTACTGTTTTCATGTACTATTTCATTCAAATACGAAAGACCACATTATATTACTTTTCTTGCTCATTACAGATAATAATGCTAACTCAAAATTAATCAAAAATTATATATAAATTTTATTATTTATAAATATTATGCTATATATAGCAGTTATTTTTTTAAGATATTATAATAAAAAATAAATTCGTGGTCACTTTTGTACAAATCAAAGTATTTGAAAAAAATATAAATTTAAAAATGTCAAATAAATAATTAAAGTTATTATGATTAACATTTTAAGTGTTAAAATTGATAATTGAATATATCATTCTATCAAAATCTATTGTAATTTACAGAATTAAAATATTTATATTATAAAGATAAAGATAACATTTTTACCTTTGTTGTATGTTAATGGAGAACTTATAAGATTTTCGGTACATATACAAATTGAAGATTTTTTTTAAAAATACTTCACCTTAGATTTTTTACCTTATACGTGTACATGGAAGTAAAAATTTTATGACAAAATTTATTGTACACGTAGTTGTAGTTATAAAAAGTTTACTACTTGGTTATGTAGCAAACATTATTATTTCGAATTAGAAGCAAAGAATGCAATGGTCAAACACCATTGGATGCTGTAGAACTATGAAGTGGTGGTTTCAATAAATCATGATATTGCAACAAAGCTTCTCGTAATGATCTTGATACTTGGCCTGATGCTGTAGCTATTGTACATTCTACTAAACAAGGATATAGTCCAATAAGTTGTTCCCAAACTGATCTCTCAACTAAAAAATAAAATTTAAATTCATTTATAAATAAAATCTAAGAAATTATATGTTACTATAAAAATATTAGAAAGTATTAGAAAATATTATTTTTCGTATATATAATTACCTTTATTAGGTGGTGCTTTTTTTAGCGAAACCACAAGTGTCGCAACAGCTTTCAAAACAAATGAAATTTCTGATAATCTGTACCTAGGAAAGGTTAATATAATAAATAATTATATATATGATGTCCCATTTTAATCTCTCATAAGAGGAAATTAAAGTGAGACATTCTATCTATATATATATAATATATATATTATTTTATATTTTCAAAATGGTATTGCTCAATTATTAATATAATTAATTAAAATAATTTAACTTATCGAAGTTTGTGTTTATTTAAGAAAAAAATTTTGAACTTTACACGAAACTATTACCTAGGTAATGGACATTTTCCACTTCGCCTCTCATTTTCAATATATCGTCGCAAAACTTCTTGGAACCTATGAAGGAGTGCAGTGACTGCTAATCGTCCAGCAACACCTCCCTCATCGTTTTCAGAGTTTTTGGTTGTATCATGATCTGATTCATTATTTAACCCATCCAATAGAGAAAACTGAAGTAACGTTTCAAAACATGTTTTTGCAAATTCTTCTCTTAATTTAGTTTCTCCACTATTTTCTATAATTAAAAACAATAATTTTATATTCAAAGTTTTTCTTTCAATGAATATAAATAAAAATTTACCAATATTTGTTGTAGTTGCTGAATGTATGGAACCTTTATTTAGTAACATAACTACTCGTAAAATAAACTGATGAGGTATATGTTGAGAATGTGGTAAAACTTCATCTCGTAAAAGTTCCATCACTTGACAGTCTACAGCTTCATCTGCTTGAATTTCTTCAACACCTCGTTCTACATTTAATACACTGTAATAAAATATCAAAATATTAATTTTAACAAGAAAAGATTAAATAATGAAAATATATTTCTATGTTATAATCTTTTTTATAATATAATAATTTTATTTCTAACTACCTTTTTGGAAATAGAAAATCATCTAAGGTACTCGCAAGTTCCGGCCACATACTTTGAAATTGTTCTGAATATTTTCTAGCTAAAGGTAAACCAGTATGTAAAACAGCAAGCAAACTAGTAACAGCTAATTTCCAAGTTGTTGGTGATGGGCAAGCATATTTCATTGACAAAGGCACATGCAACGCTTCTATAATATGCTTTAAAACTTGTCCCTCTATGACTGCCATTTCATGTGCTGTCTTTTGATACAATGTTACAATCATTGATAAAGCTTTCTCTCCAAAAGGAACATAATTCATAGTCACCCAATCAGTCTAAAAAAATTAATAATATTTATTTAATAACAATAGTGATTAATTATATATTAAAATTAAATAAATACGTACAGATACACCTCTAATTTGGGAAATGTGTTTTGTTGGAATTTTACCATAAGTAGGAGCTTCACAAGCTAGTTTTGAAAAATTTAAAAGTTGAAGAAATATTAAAACAATCATGGTTCGTAAATTATCAGGTCCATTCAGTGCTTCCTAAAAGAAAATTTTATTAATATTTAAAATTTAATTTTTAATTAATATTAAAAATTAAAAAAAATTTTGATAATGAAATAAATTATATACTTTTTGTAAAAGCTCCATTGAATGAAGTACGCCATCTTGTAAATGAGTAAGAACAACATCTGGCATAGTAGGTAAAATATACGGTGTTGATTCACCATGTACCGGAACTGCGACTGCATTTTTTAGTACAATACAAAGTTTTTGTAAATCAGGACTAGTAAATCTAAGAAACAAAAAAAAACAACGAAAAAAAATATATATATATATATGTGTGTGTGTGAATTTTTTCTTTAGATAGAAATAATATTAATTACATCAAAGATATAATAAATATAAATACTTGTTTCTAATATGTTGAAAAACAGCTGGAAATATATGAACTAATGCTGTTAAAAATGCTTGAGATGGTACATAAGGTTCAGTTTCTCCTTCTTGAGGTGGTGTTGTACTTTCCATTCCGATATTAAGCCAAACGCGCCAAGCAACAATCCATAATGCTTCAGAATCATTTGAATGAATTATTTCGTTATTATCACTTCCTTTTTGAAGATATAAAATCTCTTGAAATGATTTTAAAGCTGCCAATGATACCTATAATATAAAATATTAAATGTATAAATAATAAAATATAATTATTTCATAAATTTATTTTCTTTTATAACTATAAACATTATATGCATGTACCTCGTTATTTTTACTGAGTGCAGAATTTTCTATAAATTCCAATAAAAGAGACCAAGCTCTAGGAAAATCGCCCAACATTTGCAATAGTTGTCGTTTTGTATTAAATACTCTTCCAACGCCACTTAATGTTAATACCTGCATGAATTACCTTCATTAATCCACATTCATTAATGTATGTTATAAATACATATATATATAAGTATTAAATAAAATATATTATTATTTACTTGTGTTTCTGCCCATTGCTTTTGTGCTGTGTTTCTACTATGATGAATAAGTATATTCCCACTAGTATCCACTTTTTCGCTACTGGCAGAATTAGATAAACTTCTTACTTTATCTAGCAAAGGAAAAAGGACTTGCCAAAGTACAGCTTGCCATGTTGGTTGATGTAGCAAACTACCATGTGCAGATATAGTAGAAAATAGAGTTTGACTAGCTGATTTGCGTACAGCAGGCCGAGAATCCACACATAAATCACCTTAAAAAAAATATATATATAATAATCTGCGATATTTTATTTCACATATAATATTTTACAATATAATATATTACCTAATCTTGCATATAAACACATCCAAAGCTTATCAAAGGGTGGCATATTTGTTGTACCAGGAAAATCCGGAAATACAGATGACGAATCTCCTTTTAGTGATACACAAAGTTTCTCTTGATTTTGATAAAAATAATCACTTATATTCCACTGAAAAAATAATATAAAAATATAAACATTAAACTAAATATAATTTATAAAACATATAAAATCTTAATTAATGATTTATCAATATATTTTTTAAACGGTACAAAAGAATTATATGAACACGATCATAATAAACTTTATTTGCCTGATTTGTCTTGATTTTAATTTTATTCATTTTTCACTTCGATATTAAGAATTTTAGATGCTTCTAATTTCTTCTATAATTGAATGTATGTACTTGTATGTCTTTTAATTATGAGTTTCTGCTCTGATGTATTTGAAAGGAATTCCATAATCTGTAATCGAAAGTTTAAACCAAAAGTCACCGAATTCGCGTAATACGGGCATTACATTCCAGGCTTTTCTCATATTAAAAAAAAGAAAAGAAATAAAAAAATATATGTAACAAAATTAATAAGAATTAAAAAAAAAATTAAAACATTTTAATCATAGGTAATTCATTCTTACCATTAAACCAACAGCAGTTAATGAAATATTTAAT